CGCAGAGGTCCACCCGAATCCTTTTATTACGTACTTTGACTGTAAAGTCAATTTTTTTGATACCCGATTCTGGCAGGGTGGGGAGTGGCCTGCCATTCTTTTCTGAGATAACTGATCTGATACGCTACATAGCAAATAGAGAGAAAAAAGTCAAGCGATCCTTTCTAATACAACCAGTATAGCAACGCAGACGCACAACCCAGGCCTGCGCAGGCGCACAATTGTAGGGTAATCCCCATTGCCATCTCACCTTCCGACTTGCCACCACTCTTCTATCACGAGCGGTACGTACTCCACTTTCTCGACGACGTGATACCCGTGTATCAACTATGGATCTAGACTATCTAGCTAACTAATAAGTTACCAAAAATTAACAGATTACCACGCCTTCCACTCCGACCAGAGCACCCACAGCATCTAGCACCTAACTGTCGCCCTCCCGTATCCGCAAGCCGTTTTGAAGTCGCCGTCACCTGCACCTACGTACATTGCGAAAAAGAAAAAACAAAGAAAAAATGACAATCTACAAAGCCCTAGTAAATAACTACACCATATCCTGCCAACTAAGCTAATCGTCGAGATTGTTGTAGACCAACAATGGGGCCGAGCAGCTCCTATATGCACAAAGCGCGCATGCTCTTTGACCTGGTAGGCTATTTTTCTTTTAACAAAGAGCACCTCGCTATTCCCCACTACATATACAATACAACTACTGTTTGGACAGCCGTCTCCAGCCTAGTGCGGAAAGACGAGCGTGAAAATCGTAGCAAACTACAGCAAACAATACCAATCCATACTATCCATCGCGCCCTGTACAATCGCCATGACTACCAGCTCCCGTCTCTCCTACATTCCGTGATGGCCTACACGAGTTAGGTCATACCTGGGTAATCCCCATATCTTTTTTTTCTAACGATCCTTGTCTTCCTATACCACAGCCCCTTCACACTCATAATCAACCATCACCGTACTCGCTCTGCTGTAGTTGTGGGCGCGCGATCCGCGATGCGCACCTCACAATGAGCCTGCTTCACGCTCACTTTCACCCGGTGGCAGCCTAGGCAGCCCGCGTTAAAAAAAAACCTTACACTCTACTGCAAGTATACACCTCTACTATGGAACCACACGAGCCGAACGTTTCCACCTCCGCCTCCGCCTCCACCAACATGGCCGACGACCCAGATGTCGAGACACCGCAGCAACAAGATGGCCGGCATCACCAGACGAGAGATGCACGGGGACGACCGCTCAACTTGGTCCCTTCGAGGCTTGACGTCGGCTACAAATGGATTGAGTACATCCCCGAGTTTGACGAGATTTCCCAAGACGCCGAGGACACGATCTACTGGACCGAGAAGGGACTATGGAAAGAGAGCCTACGGGAGTGGAAGAAGAAGGGGAAGCATGGCGATCCGCCCCAGCAGCGTGCCCTCTCCGCCGCGAATCCCATGGCCTACCACAATGCACGAATCCTAAACAGCTTCCCCAGCATTTTCAACGCTATCGAACAATGGCAAGCCTCGCACCCCGACGAGCCTCGCATTATTGGTGGAGAATGCAGCTGGGACGATTCTCTTGGCTCGACCAACTTGCGTCTGCACGACGCACTTGAGAGCAAGACTAGAATCAAGAATTCGTTCCTGTGGGACATAGCCAAGATGGCTTGTCGAGGCTCGGCCAAGATGGACTACATCCTCAAGACGATCAAGGAGATAGCCAGCCAAGAGACTACCATTCCCCACCCCGATCCACAGCGCGCAGCCAAGGGCGAAACGTTTGCATACCAGAGAAAGTATGTTGTCACCAGCAGCCTGCAGGTCTGCCGCGCGCTTCTCTGGTGCAGGATCGTCCAGGAAATGGGCGAGGCGTGCGTCGCCCACATCATGAACCGCTCGGAGCGGAACGACACCATGGACGGATGGAGGGACATATACGATCCAGTCAGCTACGAGCGCAAGGATAAGGTGTGGATCATGGTGGCAGGGTTGAGTGTGATCTGCCCGCCCACCACACTGACGGAAGGGAACATCCTCCACGGGTTGGAGCCACCTAGTCTGGAGAATATGGCCCGCCAAGCAGCCAAGTGTCAGTACCACGGCGGCCAGACGCAAGACGTGGTCAAAGTCCGCTGGCTGGTCCACAAGCAGTCCATTATCGAAACCAATATGGTAAACGAGCGGTCGACTTGAGTAAAGGTCTTGTCTACGCGTAGGCCGAGATGGTATGGAAGTAGGGTGTGCTTACGTGGGATTGTGTCTACACGTGGGAGCTTGGGAGGTACAAGATAGCTAGGATCCTAATCACATGGAATGTCAACAGCAAGTGACCATGAAGATGTGCTTTTTTGATCAACGCAGGATGCAAATGCGTGCCTAGAGAGTGATCAGCAAGACGTTGTGGACAAACGGCGATTTCCTACAAAAAAGCCGTGCGCTATCCGCAATCTGCTTTGTATTAGCCTTTGATGACGATGTTAGGGGGGAAAGGTTAGCATATAGCGAGGCCTTCCTTGCAACATAGTTGCGGGCATAGTAAAGGTAGGTCGTTAACAGCTAGGTTACTCGGTTTTTAAAGCGTCACAACGATGTGATATGCATTAGAAAAGCCACCAGTAGTATCGGCCGCGACCGTCATCGGGTTGACAGTCTAGATAACTACCAATCGTATTTCGATCTTATCTATGCTAGGCTCGATCGGTATTTGATTGCACAGCATAATATCTACAATATGGATGAGAAGGACTTCTTACTTGGGCGTATCATACTATTGAAAAGAATCTTTTTAAAACCCTCTAAAATAGGAGTAGAGATTGGATCACGATTATTGGGTGTATCTGCGCAGATGGGAGCTTGGTGGATCCTTCGATAATCTATGAGGGCAT